GTGGAGGGCTCCCTCTCGAGGGCCCCGGGCAGCATTGCCCGGCCCGGGGGCAGAGCTGAGCCCACGCGGGGCCGCGGGCAGGGCCCCACGGGGACCTGGAGGGCAGGGGAGAGGAGGGACACAGGGACCACTGAGGAGCCGCAGTGAGGAGGGCATGCGGCCACCAGCGCGGCCTCGGGGCTCCATCAGGGCACTGCAATTTCTTCCAGTCATTAATTAGCGGCTGGATCCGTCCCCTTCCGCGCTGGAAACAGCCCGAGGCGATGGGGCACAGCTGTGGCTTGTCCCACACGCCACGTCCTCAGTACGACACCAAAGGTTGGTTTAGCAGAGGACGAGTCGCTCCCAGCGCGGCGGGGATTCCCCAGTGACCTCCCATGGGGCACTTCCAAGAGATAAGGAGCGTCTTGGTGCATTACAAATTCTGGGCACCTGGACCAGGCATTTTGGAGAGCAATGATGTGGAGAAGACACCCTACCCATCTCCCCGTGCATCGTGTTGGCTCTCAAGACTGCTTCTTGCCCCGAGCAAAACCCAAACTTCATGTAGAATATACACTCAGGACACCTTAATATGGAAGGGACCCAATAAGGATCAAGTCCATCTCCCTGCTCCCCGCAGGAGCCAAGATGCTCCTCCTCTTCCTTCCCAGCCCCGAGGGTCCACGGTCCTGTTCTCTGTCCCCAAGGGGCAGCACAGAATGACCCCTAGCCCGTGGGGAAGGACCTGCCCCGGTGGTGGGTGCGCCCTTCCCGGGGTCCGGGAGAGCCGCTCGGCGCTGGGATGTCCCTGTCACAGGCGGGGGGAGAGGAGGGGTCAGGTGGTGCCCGGTGTCCCCACTCGCTGGGTGACATGTCGGAGCGCAGGAATTAGATGCGGGTGCAGGGACGGAGGTGACAGCGCGGCATCGGGGCCCTGCGGGGCTGGGACAGGGGGCCAGGATGGAGGTGACCTGTCCGGAGGACTGTCCCCGCACCGGGGACGCCAGTGGCAGGATAGGGACTGACCCCTACACGGGACAGAGCAGCAGAGACAGGGGGCACTGCAGTGGTGGCCCTGGGGCTCCTGGTGCCACCTCCTGTGGGCATGTGGTGTCACACCCCCCCCCAGGGCATTTTGTGTCACCATCCCTGGGTACTTGGTCACCTGCCAGGGCACTTGGTGTCACCATCCCAGGACACGGCCACTTCCGAGGTGCTGGGGCCGGGTCCTGAGCTGGGTCACTGAGCCAAAGGGGAGTGGGGGTCGTGTCCCTGGTGCCGGGGGCGTGTCCCCGGTGCGGGGGGCGTGTCCCAATGCCAGGGGCGTGTCCCGGTTTCGGGAGTCGTGTCCCGGTGCCGAGGTCGTGTCCCGGCGCGGGGGGAGTGTCCTGATCACGAGGGGTGCCCCGGTTTCGAGGGTCGTGTCCCCGGTGTCGGGGGCGTGTCCCGGTGTTGGGGGCGTGTCCCGGTCACGAGGGGCGTCCCCGGTGCCGGGGGCGTGTCCCCGGTGCCGGGTCCGAGGGTCGCGGCGGTTCCCGGTGTCCCCGGGATGGTGCTGCCGTCGGGGGTGCGGGAGCGGGTGGCGGCGGTTCACGGGGGCTCGGCGCTGCCCGAGCGGCTCCGGCTGTACGACGCCTGGGCCACCGACTACGACCAGGTACCCGGGACAGCGGGGCATCGCGGGGGGTGACCGAGGCTGTCCGCGCTCACCGCCGCGTCCCCGCAGGATGTGGCGGCCCTGGAGTACCGCGCACCGCATCTCGCCGCCGCCTCGCTCGCCTTCGCCTTCCCCGCTGCCCCCGCCGGGGCGCGGCTGCTCGACGTGGCCTGTGGCACCGGGCTCGTGGCGCGGGAGGTACCGGGGGGGAATGGGGTGGGATGGGATGGAACTGGGATGAGGGATAACGCCCGTCTGTCCCCGCAGCTCCACCGCCGCGGGTTCCGCTGCCTGCACGGCGTGGACGGCAGCGCGGGGATGCTGGAACGGGCGCGGAGCACCGGGCTCTACCAGGAGCTGCGGCAGTGTGTCCTGGGCTGGGAGCCGCTGCCCGGGCCCGCAGGTAACGGGGTGGCACTGGGCGGGGGGAGACACGGGAGGACTCCTCGGTGATGTTCCTCGTGTCTCTGCCCGCAGATAACGTGGTGTCACCGGGTGGAGGGAGCCCCGGGAGACCCCCGGTGACACCCTGTCCGCAGGTAACGGGCCGGCACTGGGCGGGGGGAGCCCCGGGAGGACCCTTCGATGACACCCCCGTGTCCCTGCAGAGCAGTACGATGCCGTGACGGTGGTGGGGGCTCTGGGCGAGGGGCAGGTGCCGACCACGGTGCTGCCGGAGCTGCTGCGTGTCACCAAGCCGGGTAAGGGGGGTCTCGGTGTCCCCTCCCCGCCGGGACCCCCGCGGTGGTGGGATGGGGACACGGAGCCCCGGTGGATGTGGATCTCCGGCTGGGCGCTGGTCCCGTGTCACAGATGGGGTGTGGCTTTGTTCCTGGGGCCTGGGATGGTGATGGCCCGGGGTCCCTGACTCTGCTCGCTGGCAGGTCCGGGCGGTGGGACGAGGCAGGAGTTGGCAGTGGCAATGCTGGTGCGTGACAGCCTGTGCTCAGGCGTGACGTCCTGCCCGCCCCGTGCCCACTGCCCTCCCGCCCTTCCTGTGTTCTGCCCGCTGTCCTGCCCATCCCCTGCCCACTGCCCTCCTGCCTTGCCCGTGCCCTGTCTGTGCCCTGCCCGTCCCCTGCCTACTGTCCTGCCTGTCCTTGCCCATCCCCTGCCCACTGGACAGTATATCCCTTGCCCACTGCCCTCCTGCCCTGCCCATTCCCTGCCCAGTGCCCTGCCCGTCCCCTGTCCCCTGCCCTGCCCGTCCCCTGCCCTCTGTCCTGCCTGTCCCCTGCCCACTGACTCCTGGCAGGCTCTCACTGCCTCCCCTTGCCCCCCACCCTTTCCGAGGGGCTGCCACCCCCAGGGAGGGACACCCAGTGTCAGTGTCACCCGTGCCCTGTCCCATAAGGAGGCTTCCTGTGCCTGACAACGAGGAGCAACCTCTCGAACCTGCGGTACAAGCGGGAGCTGGAGGCAGAGCTGGGGAAGCTGGAGCGCTGTGGAGCTTGGCAGAAGCTGCTGGCCCAGGAGGTGGAGCACTGGGAGAGGGCCACCTCGGAGGAGGAGAGCACCCGGGGCACTGGCTACATCTCTGGAGTGGTCTACCTCTACCAGAAATGCCCTGTGCCCCCCCTCGAGGAGGACTGAGAGCTGGCATGGCTCTGGAGGGGGGATGAACACTTGGCCTCCTGTATAAAATTCAGCCCAGTGACCCCCTCCTGGAGCAGGGCAGCTGCTGGAGGGGGATAACATTTTGAGGGAGTGTCCCCATTCCCTTCCCCGTGTCCTTCTCCCCGAGGTCTGGGCCTAAGGACCTTGTCTGCTCCTCAGCATGGGGAGGCTCTCCTAGTCTCACCAGGGTCTCCTGGGCACCACCATTAGCTCTGACATTCAAGTATTGTCCCCAACACCTCAACCCTCACCGTGACATTTTGCAGACCCACATGGCTATTCAGAGCCATCTCCTGTCCAGGGTGTCTTCTCACTGTGCCCACCTTGGCGCTCGTGGTCAAAATCCGGATCCTTCTTTGTCTTCCACTCCCAGCCCCCCTGGGCTTTACCTGGGGAGTGCTGGAGGTGGATCCCCATCACTGTGTCCTGCAGCCTCCCATCCTCATCCTCCCCAGGGGATAACCCAGTGCACACTGAAGTGCAGGAGACCTCGACATCCAGAGCAGCAGCAGCAGTGCCAAGGTGACACCCAGCTGGAGAGGCTTCCAAGCACCACATCCACCTTTCATCCCACAACAGCTGCTCAAATCTCTCATTTTCCCAGAGCTTTGTAGTTAATGGTCTGGGTGGGAAATGAGTTTGGAAGGAACTTGGGGAGCTGGTGGCTGCTCCCCACCCAGGAGTCACCCAGCACTGCCTGCCCAGCCTGTTCCCCCAGCCCCTTGCTGTGCTGCCTACACAATTCCTTCTCCACTGATCCCTTGGGAAGTTTTTTACCCAAATCTCTTGCTGGAATATTTGAGGTTTTTTCCCTTTTCCCTTCCCCCAGACCTGTTCCTGCTCATCCTGTTCCCATGGTCCTTGGGAACAGGTTACTTCTTTCCCCTTGGGAGCGTTTCCCAGGTGGGAGGCGGTGGCTGTGTCTGTCCCTGTCCCCCACTCAGGGTATCCTAGATCTCCAACACTCACCCTCCCCATGGCTCCTGCCATCCTTCCACATTGTCCCCCCAGGTCTTGGGGTCCCTGTGCCCATCATGGGTAGCTGCCCTACCACCCTCTCGCCCCGTTTGTCCCCAGCACTGTCCCCTGGGCAGTTGGGGGTCGTGGCTGTCCCCAGCCCTGCACTTGGCTGTTCAATAAATCCCCGTCCCCGCTGTCTGCCTGCTGTGTGTTGTTCCTGGAGCAATGGGGCTGTGGACCCTCTGGGGTGGGTGGCCAGGACCCTGGGAGTGGGGATTGGGCCTTTCTCTGGGGGCTCAGAGGACCTGGTGTCCCCCCTTGTGCCCCTCTTAGCTCTCAGCATCCTCTCCCTGCCTCAGTTTCCCTGCTGTGGGATACCCCAGGAGCACCCTGGCTCGCTACTGCTGCTTCCCCCATGGGGACGTGCCAGGCACTGAGGCAGCAGCCCTGACCTGGCATCAGGCTGGCAGGGCACAGCACCCCCAGGATATATCACCCTCCTCCCCACACCGCGCCATTCAGAATGAGCCCAGGCAGCCTCGGTGGCACCAGGTTATTTATAGTCCCTGCTCTGGGGAAGGGCACATGCTGGAGGACCGTGCTGGGGTGCAGCCAGCATGGGAATGGGGATGGGGATAGGGATGGGGATGGAGATGGGGATGGGCATGGGGAGGGGGATGGGCATAGGGGATGGGACAGGGATGAGGGTGGGGATCGGATGGCACAAGGAGGCAGGGCAGGGACAGTGGTGCTCTCTCTTGGTCTGGCACCTGGGCACAAGGGCTCACACGTAGTCCTTCATGGGGTAGCCTGTTGAATCGCAGGTCTTCACCCCTTTGTAATTCTTGGTATAGGAATCCTGTGGGTATTGGATTCCCAAGCGGCTCAGGACAATCCCACTGGCGAGCAAGAGGGCAAAGGCGATGAAGCCGATGTAGATGGCAGCCCCCAGCTCTCTACTGACGGCCTCGGGCCCCGTGGGGGTGTAGGAGTTGTTGATGATGTTGCTGGCAGTAAAGGAGACGCTGACGAGGATCAGAATGGCGGACGTGAAGAACAGGGAGCCTGTCAAAGCGATGATCGCGCCCCTGTTGCCACGGTTGCCGCCCATGCAGCCGGAGAAGGCTCCACGCATGACGAAGATGATGATGGCGGCGAAGGTCGTGATGAGGGCGGTGACCACCAGGGGACGGGCAATTAGCAAGTCGGGGCTGATCTCCAGCTGGGAGCTGTAATACCTGCACTGCGACTGCCCCGTGCCATCGTTGACACAGGTCACCCACAGCCCGTCCGTGTACGACTGGGTCCCTACGTTGTTGGAGCCGAGGCAGGTTGTCACCCTCCACATGGGCAGGGCACAGATGAGGATAGTGGCTACAAAGCCCACGATGGCTGTCACCAGCCCACTCGTCTGCATCGACATCATTTCCATGGTCAGTACCTGCAGGGACAGGGCACAGCTGTCATGGACATGGCCCCAAGCCAGGGGGTTGCTGGAGAGCACAGGCTTTGTCTGCTGTGTCCTGCTCCCCATTGGGGTGGGAACGGCTACAGGACAGCGTGGGCACTCAGGGGATATGGGGACATGAGTGACATTGGGCAGTGCTGAAGATCAACACAGGGACACAAGCGACATGGCACGGGACATTGCTGCAGGACAGCATGGGGACACGAGTGACATGGAGACAAGGGTGACATGGGGCACTACTGCAGGACAACATGGGGACATGAGTGACATGTGGCATTGCTGTGGGACAGCATGGGGGCACACAGGTGGCACTGAGGACCCAGAACCTGAGCAGGCCGATGTGCAGGGGCCCTCATGTGTCACACTGTCCCCTACAATGTCCCCCCAGCACAGGGCAGCCTCTGCCATCACCCCTTCTTGGCGCATGGCAAGTGTCAGGGAGGCGACGGCAGCATCCTGCTTTTGGGAAGCAGGATGGGGGGCTCATGGTTCCCCTCCTGCCATGCTCGAGAGTGCAGATCCCCCACCCCACACTCACCTCATATCCTGCTGTGGCAGCAACCCCCCAGTGCCCACCCCATGCCCTGCTCCACCGCTGGTGCTTCAGCCTCCTTGGCCATGAGCATCGCGCTGGGGGGCACAGGCGGGGAAGGCAGCCCTCCCTCCCTGCAGCACTGGCTGCTCCCAGATGGAGTGCAGGTTGCTGCAGTGCTCTTTGGACCCAGGATTTCCTCTCTGAGGTGCTGGGAATGGGTCAGAGCTCAGCTCTGCTCCAATCCCAGCTGTGGAGGGCAGCTCTTTCAGTGGTACTGGCTCTTGGCCCCCAGGAGCAGTCTCCATGGGGCAAACCCTGGTGAGGGGCTGCAGGCTCACCACAGACATCACCCCTGGCAGAGGGGTGTCTGTTTAGGCGCACACCAGACACACAAACAGCTCCACCACGGTCACACGTGGCTGCCGTGGCCCTGGCTCAGCCCAAACCAGCTCAGCCCAGCACAGAGCAGAGTTCACCCCTGGGTGCCTGTGCCCAGCAGCTGGGACTGGCTGAGTTTTTATGGCCCCGAGCTCAGCGGGGTATCGGTTGTGCCCGGCACACCCTGCGGCACTTGCTGGAGGTTTCACCATCATTTCTCCTACCCCAGTTTCGGTTTCTCCAGCCTCTCCTTTCCCGTTGTGTCCCCAGTCCTTTCCCAGCACCTTGCATCCCTCGGTGACCTGATGGACACCCAGCACTGGGACCTTGGGCCATGAAAGACCCTTTGGGGCAAAAAAAAGTGATGGGTGTCATCCCGGGCACCCTTTCCCAGCCAGCAGGACCTGGGCCACAAGAGACACCCAAAACAAGGTGCATGACCACCCACACAGGGACAAGCAGTGGCTCCCAAGGGAAAAGCAGTGCCCCCACGGATCCCAAGGCACAGCAGGGATGTTTGCCAGAGCATCACACTCACAGTTCCACCTGGCCACTGCCATTACAGGGCCACAACAATATTTTCCACCGTTCCCGTTCCCAGTGAAAGGATGGGAGAGTCCTCAAGCCCCAGACCCACATGAGACACCTAGAGCCAGGCAGCCAGAGTCAGCCCTCGTCCCCACACCCCCCGAGGTGGGAGGGAAGGATGTTCCCAAGCGCAGGGAGCGCTGGCAGTGCCGGAAGCGAGATAGGCAAAGCACCCTGCACTGCCCACGCCGGCCCCGGGGTGCTCCCAGCCGCGGTTGTGGGGTGGCCCCGGGGCCAGCACGCCCCGACTCGCCCTCGCCGGCGCCTGCCACCTTCTTCCTGCTCGGGTGGGAAGGTCACACAGGCGTGGGACAGCCCTGGCGTCACCAAGGCACTGTGCCATGGAGACACCCGCTGTCACCCCCGGGGTGGCCCGGGGAGGGAGCGGTGGGGAATGCCAGGGCTGGAACAGGGTGGGTGGGGGTCGTGGGAGGCTCCGGAGAGAAGATTTGGGGGATCTCAAAAGAATGGGGATCTGCAGCACAGGAGCACCGGGCTGTCCCGCTACAGGTGTTGGAGAGGGTAAAGAACAAAAGGCACAGCGGGGTCTGAGCAGCTGCTGTTTAATGCGGGAAGGATGGATGCGGGGGCCGGACGGCAGCACAGCCAGGGGGACCAAGAGCCACCCTCTCCAGTCCCCGGGCACCCCGCTCAGGGGATGTCGAGCAGGGCGATGGATGGGGTCGGGTCTGAGAGTCGCCCCCCTCCACGCGGGTGCACGGCCCCGCTCGGCTCCCGCCTCCCCGACCGGTTCTCCCAGCCCGGCTGCTGCCTTCCCACTCCCAGGATAATGATGCCCCCGCCCTGGGGAGCTGCCGCGAGAAATCACACTCCGTACGGCCACTCCGAGCCCCGAAAGTAGGTCATAGTCAAAATTTAGGGTACAGGCAGGTGAAAGCCCCTGATAACCCTCGACACCCTGCCAGGGTCCGCAGAGCCACCACGTCCCCATGACCACGTGGGACAAGTTCGCTGTCCCCACCAGCACCGACACCGCCACCCAGCCAGAGGGACTGACAGTCCCGGGGAGCTTCACCCGGTGAGAGCCCCGTGCCACCCGAGGGACGGGCTCTAGGAGCTCTGTCACCACATGGCACACCCCGATACCGAGAGCCAGGAGACGCTCGAGGGGAGAATCGGGCGGCACCTCAGAGAAGATGCCTCTGCTGGATGCTCCGGGAGGGGGGGAACAGGACCCCCGCCGCGGGCAGCCAGGACAGGATCTCCTTGTTCCCTGTCTCAGCCGAGATTAAAGAACCGGCTCCAATCCAGGCAGAACAAAGGCAGCTCTGTCTGCCCTCCCTCGCACTGCCCCGGCGCCCGGCCAGCCCCAGCCCGGCCGGGGGGGGCAGGTCGCGGGTCCGGGAGGTCCCAGCTCCCTGCGGTGGCCGGGGGGTCCAGGCGGGAGCGGCGGCTCCTACACGTAGTTGCTGGCTGGCAGCGAGCGGGCGGCCGTGAACTTGGCAGAGTAGGGCTTCTCCCCCCGGGGGGGGCAGGTGCAGCACAGGATCCCCCCCCCCAGCAGCAGCAGAGCAGAGGCCGCCCAGCCAATGTAGAGGGACGAGCCCAGGTCCCGCTTCTGGGAGTCGGCGATCAGCGGGTTGTAGAAGTCCTGGACGATGCTGTTGGCCGACCAAGAGATGGGGACGAGGATGAGGACGCCGGCCACGATGAAGATGATGCCCGAGAGTATCATGACCCTGGCTTTGGCGGTGTCGTCCTCCACACAGTTGGTGCACTTGCCGCCGGCGACGGCGAGCAGGGTGCCCAGGATGGCCAGGACGATGGCCACCACCACCATGGCACGGGCGGCTTGCAGGTCCTGTGGCAGGCCCAGCAGCGAGTCGTACACCTTGCACTGCATCTGCCCCGTGCTCTGCACCACGCAGCTCATCCACAGCCCTTCCCAGATGATCTGGGCCACTACGATGTTGTTCCCCACGAAGGCCGTCTCCCGCCACATGGGCAGCGCGCAGCAGAGGATGGAGGCCAACCAGCCGATGACGGAGAGGGCGATGCCCAGCACCTGCATGCCCATGGAGGCCATGGCTCGCTCCCGGCACCCCTGCCCGCCTCCCGCTGTGCAGTGCCGGCTCCCGGGACCATGGCAGGCATTATATGCCTTTGCCGAGGGAGGAGCGCCGCCACAGCCGCCGTCCTGCCGCCGGCACCGGACGGAGGGGTAAAACCAGTTTCCCGGGATTCCTCCACTTGTATTTCTCCCTCCAGCGCTGACACTTAATATCCCGGTTGCTCCCACGGAGGAGGACACAGGGGACCGGGATCAGGCCACCCAGGCGCAGGAGTGCGTCCCACTGCTGTCTGTGGGTAGGCAGTGCCAAGGGCAGCGCTGGGGCTCAGCCTGGGATGCTGAAGGGGAAGAGCCGGTGTCCAGGCACCGGGATGTCTCTGCCGTTACCGTCAGCACCTTCTGTTCCATCACCTGGATGGGTTCCTCCATGTTTTCGTGCCTCAGTTTTCCCCCAGCTCACAGTCACTGCTCCAGCAGCAGCCCAGTCTCAGGCCCCCCACGGCCCTGTGCTGGGAGAGCAGCACACCGTCCCCCCCGCTGCCAGGCTCCGTGCCCAGCAGGACACAAGCAGCTCTTGTTTGCTCCTTGGCATCCATACCAGCACTTCCCAGCCCTCCATCAGGCCTCGAGCAGGAGGTGTCACCGCCCAGACCCACAAACCAGTTGGAGCAGCTGCTGGTTCCCCAAGGAGGAGAGACGGCACTGCCCAGGGCAAAATGGGGGGCAGACCCCAAACCCGCCCCACCTTGTGCTCCACCACCAGCCAGTGTTCACAGGGCTGCCTTCAGCCCCAGGTCTGCCTTCAGCCCCAGGTCTGCCCATGTCCTGGTGCCTGCTTGGTGCCTTGGGGCTGTGGGGGGCAGAGGTGGCCTCAAGGTGTCCCAGTGCTGTACCCACTGATCCCAGTGCCGATGCCAACACCAGTGCCAATACTGATGCTGATGCTTTGGGCACTGCCCGACCTCTCCTCTTTTAATCCATGACTCCCACACATGTCCCCTCCCTACTTCCTCTGAGCCCCTCCGGCACCTGCACAGGTGCTCAACAGACGGCAAGCAAGGACAGACAGACGGACATTGCACTGTTTCATCACCACAGCTTAATCCTGGGCCTCTGGGAAAGATAAGAAGCACTGAGATAATCTTAGTTTTCCTGAGCACTGGGGTTACTGAGATGATCCCTTGTGCTAATTGCTCGGTGTGATGGGTTCTAGAGCTGCATGGGATGTCCCCAGGCATTGTGTCCCAGTGTGGTGGGAAAAGCCAGGTGGTCCATGCACTGCAGTGCCAGGAGAATGCCTGGGGACATCCAGGTCTTGCTGCAGACTCCAACCTGTGGGGACAAGTCAGGGTCCTGCCTGACCTGTGCCAGAGGAGCCGCCAAGGCTCCATCCCTCTGTCCTGCTGGAGCGCCCACATTACTCACATACCAGTGTGGCCACCCCGGGGCCAGAGCCTTGTGGTCAAGGGCTCCCTTTAATTTACGAGGTTCCAGAGCATCCCCGCCGGGGCCAGACTCTGCCTGAGGCTTTCACCTCCCAGCCGGGTGCTGTAACCACCACGTAATTTGGGGCTGGAGAGAGGGACACACCCACGTGTGTGTGTGCCTGGCATGGGCCGTGTCCCCGCAGGCACGTGGGGATGTGTCTGTGGGCTGGGGACAAATGACAAAGTGAGGACAAGGACTCCTCCACGCGCAGAGCATCAAACACCTGAGCTGCTCACATTCCCCCTCGAGCCAGAGTAGGCGCCAGCACGGCCTCCCACAGCCAATGACTGTAATTAATGCTGGAACGTGACATATATTCCAGCTGGTGGATGCCATCCAGGGACAGCCCCTGTGCCCTGTGCCCTTCCCCACATCTCCCAGTGACGTGCCTGCCCGCCCAGCAGCACCAGCCTTGTGTCCCCACCACTGGCAGCCAGCAGGACTGACAGACACTGGCTTGGCACAGAGTGGAGGAGCAACAGCCACCCCCAGTGCCCATGGAGCCTGAGGATGGTGGTGTAGCACAGGTGGGACCTCCAAGCGCCTCAGCACATGCCATCCAGGACCACCACCCCATGGACATCAGCCCCACATGAGCACTGGCCCCACGCCCGCGTCTCCGTGCCCATTCCCAGTGCATCTTGCAGGATCCCAGTCCCTGGCTTTGTCCCAGTGCCATGGCACAGGCACATGTCCTGGTGGGACCACAGCCCACCTGCCCAGCAGGGAGCTCCTCCACCCCAAAACAGGGTGTTCAACCCATCCTGAACTTTGGCCACCCAGCACCCGCCCCAGCACCCAGCCAGGTGTGGATGTCCTGCCTCAAATCCAGTGGGATTTGCAGGATGGGGGAGCCCGAGTTCCTGTCCCTGCTCCGCTGCACTAAAGGGGTCAATGAAGGCAGAGCTCCTGCCCCAGCATGTCCATCAGGAGATGCCCTCCAATGCCTGCTCTGGCTTCACCAGCATGGGGACACACTGCAGTGCCTTGAGGGCCCCCTGGGTAGTTAGGCCATCCCCAGGCAGGGAGGTGGCATTAAACCCAGCGTCACCACGATGTCAGGCACCACCGGGTGCACAGCAGAGGCTACACCACCCTGACCTTGCTCAGGGCAGAGGACACCCCACAGGGAGAAGGCTCGGGGCACAAATCTCCTGCCAAAAAGGGCCACCAAGGACACAAATGACAGTCCCACCTCACACGCAGCTGGCACCAGCTCAGCCCTGCGCTGAGCCAAGAGACCCTCGTTCCCCAGCACCCCCACATGGACCTACCACCCCAGCTACTTCAAGGTCCCAGGAAGGCAGGTGACAGTTGCCAGCAAGAGACAATCCACCGGGATCTCTGGCTTTGCATCTGCCAAGCGAGGCCTGGCCACCGGCCCTCTCGCTCAGCCCACATGGAGCAGGCGGTCAGGGATTAGTTACCAGCAGCCCAGAGACTGAATGTTCCCAAAAAAACATCCTTGCCCGACATAACCCCCCTCGACCAACTCAAATGTGCACAGTCAGGTTGTTTCTCAGTATGGGAAAGCAAAGCCTTATCGGCTCAGCAGGAGAAGAGCTGTGTGCCGGGACCTGCGGGGTCCCTGCGGGCAGAAATGGGACCTTTGCCCTGAAGTCACTCCAAAAGTCAAATCTCTGTCCAATTTCTGAGCAACAAGTGGTTCCCGACATGTAAAACACCCCCAAGTGCTGCCGAGGTGGTTGGCAAAGGGATGGGGGAGACGATGACCACGGGTCAGGAAGGAGGATGCTGGCGGTGCAATGGGAGTCTCCTGGCCGGCGATGCTCACAGGAAGGGGATGCTGTGGCAAAGCCGATCCCAGTACGGCCCAGTATCCCCCGGGCGAGCCCCCTGCCACATCTCGCTGGCCGGTGCCCCCCAGCCCCCCGTGTGCCGGCACCTCCCTCCCCGCCCCGCCGGCACACAGAGCTGCCATTGATGCTCGGAGCCGCCTTTACCTGCTCGCCGCCGCGTCGGAGGGGTTCCAACAATGGGTTGCCTGTGTGCCCTGGTCAGCACGGAGCCAACAGTCCCGCGCCTGAAATATAAGCGGCCGAGGCAGCACTTACCGCCCCGGCCCCGCTCGCCCGGGGGGGGAACGCGCGGCACTCCCGACCGCAGAGGAGGGGAAACACCCCAAATCCTGCGCCGGCTGCCGCGCACGTGAGTGGGACGCGGCCCCGAGGCACCCGGGGCTGTTGCTGCCGTCACCTCTTGCTCACTCCCGGGATGATGGGTTCTGGGTGCATGGCAGGAAGGGGATGCTGCACTGGGTGCCCCCCCGTCCCCCATCCTTCTTGCCCCCCCAGGTGTCCTTCCTGCAGTGTGAGCCACCAATCTGGTGATGCTCCCATGATCTTTGGGGTCTGACCTTCATTCGGCGTCTCTGCGTCCGCAGCGGGCAAACCTGTCACCATGTCACCGTTGTGTGACCACAAACGTGGCCACCCCGCTTTGTCCTCATCCCGGGGCACTTGGATACTCCCCATCCCTCCCCAGCTGCGGGGTACAGGAAGGGGGATGCAGCAGGAGTGATGGGTGTGCCCCACAAGCACACTGGCTCTGTTGAGCTCTTTGGTAAACACTATTGATCCAGTTTCCTCACCACAAGAATGTGTCCTGCCAGAGGTGACCGGAACCCTGAAACCCCGGTGATTTGCCCCTTCCCCCACCCTGAGTCAGGTGTCAGTGGCTGCCCCAGGCAGACACAACACTGGACAGAGCCTGTACTTTGGCAATTTGGGATGACAAAGTGTGAGGACGCGGCGCGTGGGGCTGATTGCAGGGTCGGGGGCTGCAGTGCTTTGCTGCCTCATCCCACCCCACTCTGCCCCAGCAGCTCCTACCCCAGGGGTATCCCCACTGCCCCACATACCTGCCTGGAGTATCCACCTCTCCCCCTGCACCACAGCCCTACCAGGGATGACCCCATTGCCCCACACCCCTGTAGGAGGTATCTCCCCTGCCCCACATCCCTACACAGAGTATCCCCCCCACATACACACACACCTCTACCTGGGGTATCCCCCTTGCCCCATGCCCTTGTATGGAGCATCCCCACTTCCCCACAGACCTGCCTGTGCTATAACCCTGCCCCTACTCCCGAGTACCACAACCCTGCCTGGGGTCCACCTTGGCCCAGAGCCCTGTCTGGGATAAAACCCTGCCCCAGAGCCCTGCCTGTGGTATAACCCTGTCCTAGAGCCCTGCCTGGGGTACATTTGCACCCCAGAACCCTGCCTGGGGTACCCCTGACCCAAAGCCCTGCTTGGGGCACTCCCTTCCCCCTACCTGGGGTACCCCCTCACCCCACAGCCCTGCCTGGCGTACCCTCTGCCCCAGAGCCCTGCAGCCGTGTGTCTGTGTGGCTGTGGGTGCATGTGCTGGTGTGTCTGCAGCCGTGTGTGTGCTGGGGAGGTGTGAGCACCTGCACTGCCAGCGTGTGCCTGTTCACCTTTGTCACTGTGTCTGTGTGTGTGTGTGTCTGTCAGTCTCTGTGTCTGTGAGTTTGGCTGTGAGTCTCTGTGTATCTGGCTGTGTGTCTGTGTGTCTGC